TTTCAGTGCTTCTGCCCTAATGGGTGCATGAACACACAGGCTGCACAACTGGCAACTCTGACATCATATTTACACTTCAACAAATTAAAAAAAAAAAAAAAGGAGATAAGTTTTTGTTAACCTGCTCATAAAATCTGTTATTGCCTCACATCTAACAGATCTTTAAAAACTCACCCAAGTAACTTACCAGTATGAGCAATTTAACTTAAAATATTCATTTTAATTAAGCGTGGGGTGAGAGTCGAGGTGACCTGTGCGGCACTGTGTCGGCTGCAAGCTGCTAAATATTAATTACTTATCCTCAAATATCACTGACAGTGCCAATTAAAGATTTTCACTGAGCTCTAAGGATACTACCCTCTGGTACCAGGGAAGTTATGAGAACAAAGACACCCAAATTACCCAGGCGTCCTTGCAGATAAGCTCCGGCGCCCATCATTTACTGTGCAGCACAAGCTGATAACATTATCTACAGCAGAGGGGTTAAGTAAAGACAAAATGTTAATGGCAAGTGCCTGCAATTTTCTTTTGAAAGGGAAATGAACTCTACTAATGTAGGTAGATATATTCTTAGAAGAAGCAACACACTCAATGAGAAGCAACACACACCTTCCGAAGGTCATTTTTAGCTAGGGCTAGCTAACATACAGGGAATCAGACCACGTTTCTGATCAATTTAAAGTAAATTTTCTTACTAAAGAGAGACTTAATGTAGGTTCTGCTGTTTAAAACGTTCATCCTGATGATAAAACTGTACATTTACAAAAGCAGTCACACTAAAGTGTTAATCACACATGGATTATTTTAAGGTCTAATGAGCGTATGATCCCATATAAGTAGCCTGACGAAACGAGCGCATTTCAAAAGACCGTCAAAGGAGTGCTTCTTTCAGTGTCTAGCCCAGATATTCAGGCTCCTAATAATAACTGAAATCTGTCACAAAGTGCTCAAGACTTCAAAAACATATATACAGAGGCAGAGACTGAAGAGATGAGCGTCTGAGCAGACGCACTAATGAGGAGTAAACGGTAATGTCAGCATGTGTGGGAGTGCTTGTGAGTTATAGACCTTGAACATTAGAGCAAGGTTTTTAGTTATCACCTTTGTCAAAAAGTAAAACAGGCATTTAAAAAAGGTTAAAGAAATCGCTCTAATTTTTTATTTTTTTTTGAAAGTGTGGTTCTTTCTGTTGTGTCAGGGGAGAAATCTGACTCATATCAGGTGATAGGAAAAATTGTACACTAAAAGCAGGTGTGGGTGTTTGATTCCCTCCGTATGCCAAAGTGCTGTTGGGCTAGAAACCGATAATCAGTTTGCCCCTTAATGGCTGGCCACCAACGTGTATGAGTTATTGTGATACAGCTTGAATGCTCAGATCATATCATGAAATTTGCTGTCCTACTGCCTTCTTGTAAGAACTGGATGAACTCGAAATCTCCATTTCTTTCATCAGGTCCAGCTCGTCTTTGCTTGAAGTTGACTTTTCCATGTGTTTTTTAGGATGAATTTTTCAATGTTATTGGTGTGTCTATAGTGTGTGAATGTATGTGTGAACGGGTGGATGACTGGTTGTGTAAAGCGCTTTGGGGTCCTTAGGGACTAGTAAAGCGCTATACAAATACAGGCCATCTATGTTACCTGACAAAACTGCATCTGCATCAGAATCACGCTCAGTGTGTAAAGGTCTTAAGCACAAGTACCAAAAACTACATCACGTCTAAGTACCACTTGAAGCTGGCTCTAAAAGTGATTAAATACCCGTAGACTTTCAAAGCCCATGGTATGAATTGCATTTAGCTTCAAAGAATACTTCCCCCTTCAGAACAACTCTGAGTTGGGTGAACTCATCCACCTGGATACTGGACTTCACTTTGATTAACAGATTTACGATACAGACAGTGGAGGCTAGGCCTGCTATGCCTCACCTCTGCTAACTGGACTCATTAAATTGGACCTATTCTGTATGCGTGCGCCTTTTACCTGCTCTAAAACCATTTAGATTGATAATCTGACTGATGCTAAAGCTTGCTACATGGTACAGACCGCACAAGATGTTTGGTTTATGATCGAGATACTAGTGTTTTATTAGCTTGCTAGCCAAGCGAGTTAGCATTAACTGATCCCTTAACACGTCAACTTAGCATAAATGTTTTCACTTCTGGCTCCAAAAAAGCCCAAGAAAAATGTTGAAGCTTCAAAATATAGTCCAAAACAAGTGACATCACACTGGCTACTGTTATGTTGTCTATGTTCCAGGTTCATGGTTCTTGTTTTGCCTACAGTATATGAGTAAATAAATGCTAATGAGATCCATCTGGATCTCTATAAATGCTAAAAAGACTTAGGTAAATATGTATCTTTGAAATAACAAATAGTATTTTTCATAATAATCAGCTCACACTGTCCCCTGTACTGTAATTGCCAGGAAAGATGGTTTCGTGTCATAGAAGTGATAATGAGGGGACAAACACACAGAGCACGCTAACAGCCAAAGCTCGGTTGGGATAACAGGAGTTTTTTGATCCAGAATCTGTAAAAGTTTAGGGTTTTTTTTTAGCTCTATAGTCTGCTTGCAAAGTAATAATGACCACTTTTTCTGTTACACAGTCTTTGTGGCCAATGACTGGAGACAAAGCACTTTTATCTATTTTTACCTCTTTTGCTGTTCTGTTTTTCTTGAGTCTGAAACAGCGTTGTGCTGTCTAATGTTGTGTTCAGCACAGATCCAATTCACAGTTTGCAGCCTTTGCTTGCGACATCATACCTTTACTTCTTTTATATGTATTATGAGACCCTGGCTGCCCTGGTAAAACAGCAACTGATATGTTAAATGCTCAATAAGCAGCATGTTTCTCTAAAATTACAACACAGAATGCTTCCCCTGTGTGGTATCCAAGAATATACAACAAAAGATGCCCTGGTATGCTGCATTAACATTGCTTTCCTACTTTCTACCATTAAACACCCTCTACTATAACTGTTTCTAGTCCCAAGTTGTGGCACTTCAAGTGTGACCATTTTTTTCTTTCTTTCCTTTTTTATATGTAAGCCTCCTATGTAATATCCCCCAGGGCACGACGGGCAAAAATTGGGCAAATAACCCATCAATAAATTAACTTAGTTTAACTAAAACTTTTTCATCTTGTTCCATTCAGTTTAAATGGATTGTGTCGCCTAGGGGACAGAGAGGGTTTAAACTTTTAAAGGCTAGTCATTATCTGAACCCTTTTTTCTAGCGGCTGCTACTCACTCGCAGTCAGACAATAATATGCTCTCAATCTCTCCCACTTGCTGCTGCTGTCCTTGAAAATCAGTGCACTTCCCAAGCGAAGAATTTAAGAGGTACTGATTTTGCACATGAAGGCCGGTTCAATCGTCAAGGAGAGCACTACTGAAAGTGTGAAAGCAGCTATAAAGTTTCCTCTCTGGTACTGCAAAATAGTCCCAGTCCTGATTTAAACCTACAATTTTTGACAGAAAATCTTTATTAAATATTTAAATATTTATATTTGATAAAGATTTAATAAAGACTTTAACACCAAGTGTAAACTTGGTGTTAAAGCTGTCAAAATATTATTTGCCAGATATTGAAAACTTTAATAAAGGTGTTATTAATTAACATTATGAGGAAATGTAGCCTTTCTCATTGTTATCATGCTTTGTGTAAGCCTCCCTCTTTATTAATATTCAATGTAAAATCTCAGTAGTGCTTGTATAAAGGAAAAATCTAGTAAACATAGGTCTAAGAATCTCCATTCTATGGATCATGATAAACTCTAGCTCACCACATCTGTGTTATGATATTTTATTTATAAATATATTATTTAGGAATGTCACAATACCACACAAAAAACCCCTCAAAAAACCCAATATGCTACACAGCTACACACAACTTTAGGAGGTCCTGTTATGAGCAATTGCTATGCTAGCCTGGCTTTTGTGGTGGTTGTGGGCAGAACATTCATTTCAGGATTTTCAAGACATTTCTGTAGTATCCCCGACACCCACACCGTTTACAGTACCCTGAATTTTCAACATTTTCACATTGACTTGATTTTAAATATTTATCTGTTCAAACAAACTAAAATTACAACGTAGACCTGCTGTTTCTCCTCGCATTATAATACACTGTTGTCACTTGGCTGCAAATAGATTGCTAGCTGCTAGGCTATTTGCCTTTGACTACACTAGCTATTTCCCAAATTTTGGCACTTAAGATGATTCATGTTAAAGAAAATGTCAGCTGCTTGCCCCAAGTATATTGTTCTGTCAAATTTTTTAACTTATTATTATTATGTTAATTTATTCAAAATTGCCACAGCTGCTGTTTAGCAACCACAGATAGCACCTCCTGGTGGCTCTTAAAAAAAATTCAGGTTTAAGGTACTTGGGCATTGGCTTTTCAGACTTGGAGGCTTCATGCATATTTTATACTTCCGATACAGCTGTAAACCTTTACCGTAAATGTGTTAGTGCAAAACAATTCCACTAATATGTTTCCTGTTTCGACTGCTGATCGACTTTTTGGAGGCAGCGAACATCTCTAGCATTTCAAAAATGTCCCAAAGATTCGGAACCATATGTCCTCCATAAAAAAAATCTCTGGCACAACTCACACTGCAAACAGCTACAATTCTCAGAGACAGACTAAGTTTGAAAAATAGTGGGAAGAGATTTCCTTTGGATGGAAGCATCAGCCACAGCTTATGATATTCACATAGGGACTATAAGGATAGAATTTAAAATTTCTCAGTAACTTGACAAAGCGTACATTTGGCTGAAGAAGCAATGACGTCAACAGGCAGACACAATGTAGCCCATATGCTAATGCTTACCCTGAAATCAATGCCCACAGTGGAGATGAAGCTCCCAGCCAGAAAGGCTCCATCTTTGAAGCGAACCAGCAGACAAGTCTTTCCCACGCCTGAGTCCCCCACGAGCATCACCTGAGACAGAAGGTGACAATGTATTGGTTCATAAAATTTTAAACCTTGCGTGTGTGTGTGTGCATGTGTGTGAAGATGTTTAAGGTATATAAAAAAATACATAAACAAATACACTACACTGGGAAAAAGCAGCATGTACAGACCAATGGACATAAAACTGCTTATTTTATTATGTTTTACATATCACATTATATATAAATATATATACATTTTTTCTCTAATTCAGTGGTCTACTCTGATATTGGTGTTCATTTAAGTTTGATTTGTCGTGTTCAGAGGTGACATTTGGTACACTGAACTGTTACAAGTGGGAGTACCACATAAAGTCAAAGTGGAGCTGTGATTTTGGTCAGTCTACCATGGGAACAGTTGCTAATCAGGGTGCATTATTAATACCAGCTGCCACCCACATAATGAGAATTTAGATTTGCATATGCCCAATGTAGAATATCATTAGTCTTTTTCATCTCCATTTCATACTTTCAATTATGTATGTTCTGTGTCAATGCTGTGTCATTATTGATTATTCCTCAGCCAAGTCGAGAGCCAAGACAGAGGTACAGAGAGATTTACTTCAAACAGTCAAGATATGATTGTACTACAGACTAATTCAAGGGGTTTAACGACAAGTATAGCATCAAGATACATATTTATGAATCATTGCAGTTTGTCTTTTTTGTCTTTCTGTTAGCTAAAGTATGTAAAAACCACCAAGTCAAATTTTGCGATGGAGATCTAGAGCTTTGACAAAAGTAAAAACCAGTGTTATGTGTACACATAACAGACATAATTAAGCAAAGAACCAATTGTCAAAAAAACACATAATTGATTTCAATGTCTTTAGCTGAATCCATAGAAAATGTTAAAGATAACACAGATTGACAGATATCAAATAGTATTTTAGCACCAACAAGAGGATTGCCAAAGAACTGAAAGTGTATCTTAGTATATCTTGGCTGAATGGGTGGAGGACAAAAGAAGAACCAAAACACCTAAAACCCTACAGTAGCTGAACAGTATCTGGGAAACAGGAAGAAAAGGCTGGGTTATGTGAAATTACACACAAAATTGGACTGAAAATCAGTTACAGTAAGTCTTATAGAGAGATGGAAGGATCTCCTCTGACCATCCCCATGCATTCTGAGGACAGTTTGACAAAATAAGTCATCAAAGTGCATGGAGGAGGTCAGAGGAGAGGTAAAAAAGTGAGTACAGCCACTAAAACATGATGGAGGCTCAGCCAGTGGTGTTGGAAATCTTGTCAAAACTGATGAAATTACAAATGCAGATAAAAGTACTGTCTGATACTGATCCACCATGCAAGACCTACTAATTGGAAAATGCTTCATTTTTCAGCATAGCAGTAATGCCAAGTACACTGTCAATACACTAAAAGTAGAAAAACACAATGGAACACTAACAGTCATGGAAATATTGACTTTCAGGCTTACATTTATTTACATTTATTTATTTAAGTGTTAAGTTTGCACATTTCAATAAACCACTGCACCTATTTCCCATTTTCCTACCAAAATATAAACAAATGACGAGTGGCTCAAGACTTTTGCACAACCGTGTATTTAGAATTGCATATAGTATAGTAAAACAGAAAAGATATTTAGATTTTTAAATGATGAAAAAATGTCTTTCATTTATAAGCTATAACTCAAAAATATTCTTTTAGACACATAAAGTGGGCTACACACACACACACACACACACAGCGTAGATGTAGCTTGCAAAAAGGGAAGAAGGAAGGGATGCAAAAGCTGCATTTTTTTAACAGCCAGCAGTGGGCGACACCCTGCAAAAAAACATCTGGGTGCACGGAAGTGTGTATGGCAAAAGAGTTTCCTGACGTCAGTAAAGAGTTTCCTGAGAAGCTTATAAGCTCATCTGCTTGTTTCTACTTATAACAAGTGAAACTTAATGTTAGTTTTGTCAATTTGTGTGCCCATAAGTGTCCATGAACGACATTAAAGCAAAGTATGCCGTATCATGTGACTGACAATCACCTCCTATGAGCACCAGTCAATCACATCCACCTTTTCACTCCTCACATCTGGTTTCAAAACACCAAGATGGTGTTTTTGTTTTGTTTTGGTTTTTTTTGGGGGGGGGGTTACATTTTTTGTAAGGGAAACTAAAACAGTCCTTCATCCCTGATGACATCTGCCTCCTGACACAGCTATCAGGACATATCAAACCTGAGCTTTACCATGAGATGGCAGTAGCACTTATTCTGTCAGCTCCACTCCTGTTAAACAAAAAGCGCCGCTGCTCTCCTTCACTGCAGTTAATTTATCTCATTAATAATAGAAACCTCTCTCCATCATCATCAGCTCTTCCATGTTATTGCACCGGACAACATGTGTGCAGCAACACTTAATGTTTCTAAAGTTCAGCGCTTGAAAGGAGACACCGGATGCACTAAGCAGCATTTCATGCATGTGCGAGCAGTTTGGAAGGTAAACATGAGGAAATCTCAAGCACAGGAGGAAAAACTGTCAAAAACACGACACTGAAAACAACATTTGTTTTCTTGCATAAACACACAGCACACAGTTTTTGCATATGTTACGTATGTTTTTCTGCTTTAAAGCACCTTGAGTGGCTTAAGAAGCCTGTTGAAACATAGATGAGAAGGTGTATGATGTATATAGAGCTACTATCCAGCAGTCAAACGAGATGAGATGATAACTCAGAGAAACTAAACTAAAAGAAAATTCTGAAATAAAAATGAACACAACAGGAAATTATATTTCTTGGCCGAAACTAACTTCCATACACAGCCATGCCTGAAAACTACAAAAGTAGAAACAAAGTAGAAAGCCCACTATTTTAAGAAAAAGCCTGCTTTTCAGGGCAAATGAATCATCTTTAATCATCTTTAGATTCATGTCTGCAGACATTCACTGTGATTTGTCTGTAGAGTCATGCATTCTACTGGACACAAGCACACTTTTAACTAAGAACATAAGACACTTTTTTCCTTTAAAGAGGGACTTTTTAAAATTGGCTGATGCTAATTCGCTTCACTTCTCAGGTAAAGTCTCTATAAGACGAATACCCTACGCTAAGCTTGTGCTCACCTTGAAGGCGATGTCATAAAACTCTCCGCTGTTGCTGATGGATGGTCTGCTGGGATAGACCAGCCCGGAGGACGGAGCAGCAGCTGCGGTCAAACCTTTCCCCGTCCTCCCGCTGCTCGGAGATGCCTTGGGGCTCTTGGAGCTGCCTTTGCCTTTCGCTGTCTTCTTCCTGGACATGACTCTGACGACCTGCTCCACTTCGAGCAATTAAAAAAGGAAAAACGAGGAGGAGGAGAGTGTGAACTGGACACTTTTCTTTTCTCCTTTTTTGAGTTCTGATCGGGGTGCGTTGAGGTGAGGTAAGTTCACCTGTGCGTCAAAATCATGACTGTGCGTAAAGCCTAAATTGGCAAGTGACAACAAAACGGAAAAACTGTCCTTTAAATAGAGGCAGCTGTTGTCTCCGCGGTGCAGCTGGATGACTGTAAATCTGAGGTCTGCTCACAATGTAAACAGCCCCCTCTCTCGCTCTCCCTCCCGCCTCTCTCTCCCGTTCTCTCGTAACGTGATGTTGGGAGCGGGAGAAGGCATGGTTCTGTGGAAAATCCACACTAAAACAAAAAATAAAGAGAAAATAAATCCACACACTTTCAAATTATGCAGCACAAAAGCAGTCTCGTTAAGCTAGAAAACAGATTTCTTATAGCTGATAATGCGGCACATGAAAGATACTTGATGAATCATTGGTCATTATTTTAAGGAAGGACGAGAGACTGGAATCAGTCTTTTTACGGGGTAATTCTGGAAGCTTTACAGTGTTATGCACATCACTTGGCTTCCACATCTTATTTAGGCTGTGGTTCCAAGTTTTTAATGCAAAAACAGACTGCACTAATGTTTTGGGTGTATTTCCTGCCTTAAAGGTCCAGCTTGCTTCTGGCACCGATTCAGACTTGCAGTTAGCTGTTAGTGCTGTGCCATACTGCAAATTTTGGTATGATGCGGGGCAAGTATACCGATACCAATTACCGATATTGATACGTTTAACGTTTAAAGGCAGATGACAGCAGTGTGTCATGACTTATGAGCTGAATCATCATCAATTTGCAATTTCCAGTGACTACTAACTCACTGTGATTTTCACTTTTCCAATAATTAGTTTACACATCAAAACACATCTTTCAGCTTTTCATGTATTTTGAGCCTGGGTTTATTGGAGACCTGGAACGTAAATTAGTCTGTCTGGGTTAACTTCTGTTTTTTAAGTGTGCTACAGGCTATAAAGAAAATAGACAGTCAACACAAAACGGTTCTGACATTTTCCATAGTTTGAGGTATATATATTAATTTGCCAAGAATGAAAAAAAAAAAATCAACGCAATTCAGTGGGCTACTTGCTCAACTTAGAGGATAAGTATCGATCCTATTCTGGTTTTATCAATCCGATACCAACACCACCGTTGGTATCGATGCTATCAATATTTGGATCAAACCTCCTCTACTTGCTGTTCTGTGCAGACACTTTCAGATTCATGGCTTCGTATCTCCTGT